GGTCTACTAGCACTTCAAGCCTTTTCTCCTCATGTAGGGTTCTAACCTGCACAATTCAAGAATCTGTGAAATGTTTGAAAAGGCACGAAAACGGAGACAAAAATGAAAGAGTGCAAACTAGGATTGTGAAAGATTAACTCTTCTTTTACACAGCTTAGATGTATGAGACAGACAAGGATGAATTATAAACCGAAGAACATTCCCGCGAAAAATGAGACAGACAATTTACATGTGAAACTAACACTATTTACCAAATCAAGAATCATTCCCTTCTGAACTTGACCATTTCCAGCATCTAATGCTTTCTGCCCTGTTATGAGTTCCAGAAGCAGTATACCGAATCCAAAAACATCAGTTTTTTCAGAAGACTGTCCGGTTGAGAGATACTCTGGTGCTATGTGCCCTACAGTCCCCCGCACTGCAGTAGTAACATGTGATTCCCTCCAATCTAACAGCTTGGCTAGACCGAAATCCCCAACTACGGCTTCATAACTTGCGTCAAGTAAAATGTTTGCAGCTTTGACGTCCCTATGAATAATTTTTGGATTACACTGCTCATGCAAGTACAGGAGTCCACGGGCAGCCCCAAGGGCGATGCACAATCTTCTGTTCCAATCCAATGATGGTTTTTCTCTACCAGTCTCTGTTGGTAAAACTCAAATCGTAAGAACAACCAGCAAAGAAATAAAAAAGATAAGCTACTTAGTATAAAAGACGAATGGTACATGAACAAATTGTTAAACTGCTTGGACCGAGGAAGACATTTAGAATGCCTCACTAGTCAAAATATAGCAATGCATCATTGTTCTGCAATTAAACCCCAAAATAGGAAACCAACAGAATGATTTCATCATAGGGAAGAAATAAGCAACGAAATGAAATGAAGACGGACCTCTCAAACGGTCAGCAACACTTCCATTTGGCATAAAAGGATAAATAAGCAACCTCTCGTTTGGAGTCATACAAAAGCCATATAAACGTAAAAGGTTTCTATGCAAAGCCAAGCCAATCATTTCAACTTCAGTTTGAAACTGCACTTCTCCAGTGAAATTTGGATCTCTCAGTCTCTTAACTGCCATCATTGTCCTATTTGGAAGACATCCTTTATACACGACTCCATATCCACCTTGCCCTAAGATGTTTTTGGAACTAAAATTGCTGGTAGCAATTTGCAATTCTCGAAAGGAGAACCTCTTCAAGTGACTAATATCAAATTCATAATCTTGCTGCACTGCAAATATGAACCAGAGTATATCATGATACATACTGCCATATATTGTGCTCAATAAAATAAGTTAGCGTAGATCAGGAAGTACCATAAGATGTAAAGAGAAGGCGAGATCTGTACCAACGCACCCAAAACACTAGCAGCATTATGGAAATAACAAATGTACAACTAGAGCCTAGAGCAACAGAAAGCACCCATCGGCGGTGACTGCTGACTTTCTGTGGTGAACCTGCCTCTGCAGGTAAATTTTCGTGAACGTGAAACCATATCCAAGAAACAGTACAATAAAAAACGGATTTGAGAGGTTGAATTACCATTTGTTGGTTTGGAGACACCAACGCCGATTTGTGCTGAGTCTGGTGATGAAGGATTGCAAAGAAAGCTGTTCCCTGTAACACTGCAGTAAAACGAGTAAACTCTCAGTTGAAGTTAAGGTGTTCAAACAAAGCTCGTACTGATTGAATTTTTATTACCATCCCACCCTCATTCCATTTTTTTCTTAACTAAAATTTTATTTCCCTGTCAAACAATATTTCTGCTGATGGTCTCACCTGTAGCCTTTTGCCTGTATTTTTGGAGTAGGACCACTAAGATTGTTAAACGATAAATCTCTGTAATATTAGTCGGAAAACAAAATTAGAGCCGGTCTAATCAATACAGAAATAAGAATGCACGGTTACAAATGAAAGGAACACATACAAGAATGAAAGACCAATGAGATCGGCAACAAGTTTGGGAATTTGACCACTCAACTTATTTCTATTAAGTCTCCTGAAATGCTTGGCATGGGAAAGGTTTCAAACACAAATAAAAATCACCAAAATAATAATTATCGGAAAAAAATGTAACTAGAATCGATAGAAATACGAGTGCACCATCTATTTTAAGCCCTACTCACAAGTAACTTAGATGAGTCAGAAACCCCAAAGAACTCGGAATGTCTCCAGAAAACTGGTTACCCGAGAGGTCAAGAGTTTGAAGCTCTGAAAGCGTCCCTATCGCGGCTGGGATGGGACCAGATAACAGATTGTTTTGTAACAACCTGAAATATATGAACTGAAATATGAATTAACAAGTTGTAACTACTCTTCATAACTACAAGCACAATTACATTCACCGGTAGACCTTTGGTATGTTTCTCATTTATTCGATTTTCATGCTGATTGCACATACTTCATGTTATACAGCAGAATGCATCATGTAATAGTAATCTTTATCCTTGAGAGACAAACAGGGCGCGGAGAATATCATATTCCGATGCATGTACACAGTTACACAGACAAAGAAATGAGTTCCTACAACAAGGCCTCCTAACACACTTATTATGATTATCCTAGTGTTCCAACAGTTCTTGTTCAGAAAGTACCCTGCATTGCGATAAAACATGTTTGCACAAATTTATTGTCTTCTACTCATGTTAACTCACAGAAGAATAATACTTGGATGCTTCGTTCGATCAATTGAAACACCCCATAACTTTACATTTTTCCACACCTATGTACCGAATGACACAATTAACAAGTGCTTGCTACATATTGCATACAGATCAAATTGTGGCTTACAGTGTTCGAATGTGACTCAAGTTCCCAATACTCGGCGAAAGCATCCCGGATAAATCCGTGCTGACCATTGCACTGGAAAAAGCAAGAACATTAAACCCTATGTCGAGTTTAGCCACACATGCATGCTACTAACTGTATAAAATTCATAGCTTCCAACAGACAGAAGATAACACTGGTTTCAACAGATGCTCCCAAAAGAAAACATTCATTTTTTTCTTGTTTCATTGATTTTTTTTATTATTTTTGGAAACTGTTTCATTCATTTTAAGAAAACTAACGAAAATGGCTTGAAAACATTGAGATTTAACGACAAAGACAAAATAAAGAGTAAAGTGAATAGTACCATGATTGATTTTTTAGTGTAAAAATACAGTTTTTCGTTAAAATAAACAGTTACGGAAGCTTTTCGTTAAAGTTCCCTGATTTTAACCAAATGCAATGCACCATCCAATACTTTGCACCAATATTTTCCCACAGCATTTTCCCGAGAAACAAACAGAAACTAACACACAATGTAGAATTACAGGGACACTCACAGGGAGATAACAAAGCCCTCAGTGGAGCAACCGACCATGTTCCAAGTGCAAGGATCGACAGAGTTTATATCCCAACCGTCCATCACACTCATCTCATCCTTCATCTCTCTCTTCACCGACATCAATGCAGCCACTAAAGCCCCACCAAAAACAAGAAAGTCACACAAACAATTTCACCATAAAAATTATAAAAAAAAAAGTCGAAAAATCGAAAAAATGGAACTTGGGTTTTGAATCTCGAGGGGTCGTACCTTCAAAGTTGACACCTTTGGGAGAGAGAAGGCTGTCGGAAGCGGTGGCCAAGGACATACAGAAGCAGACGAAGCAGAAGCCAAAAAGCAGCTTTTTGACACAGTTGTTTTCCATTTTTAACAGGAAAATAGAGAAGACAAAAGCAACTTTTTACTACAGCAAAATGCAGGGAGTGAAGGATTGTGTTGTTGACTGAACTTGAGCTCCACCACCACCACCACCACCACCAACAACTTCTGCTTTTCTCTCTCTTCTTTTCTTTAGTTTCTTCTCGGTTTGGAATCTATGTTTACTGTTTTCCTCGAAAACCATCGCGAATGAAATGATTAAAGAAGGAAAACGATAAAATTTTGTTTAGGATCGTAAGACCAGGACGGAGGGGAAACTCGAGATTCGGGAAGTGACACAGATTGTCTGCCAAATTGTATTCTGATCGTTGCATTTGTTGTTGACTTCCTTGTCATTTACTCTTTACCTCAATGTTTTTTTTCTTTGCCTTATCTACCAGAGCGATTCGTCACTTGCTAACTCAACGTTTATTAGGAGATTGCTCCTCCCTGACCACTTTAGTAGTAAGTAATACATGTCGTAATCAGAATTGTTCATTTCGTAAATTACGATTTGATGATACTTGTTTATTGAACAAATTGACGGCATCGACCTCAATTAAAATTCTCATAAAAAACCATCCAAGTGAATTGATTTTTCACTAACATAAACTTCAGATTTTTAATTAAGAAAATTAATGTTTTAGAGTAGGATGCATGGAATAATTACATTTATTTGTAACGGAGACAATTACAATTTACAACCGCGTGAAAAATGTAATAAACTGTAGTCGTACTCAAATTTGACAGGACAAGTGCAAAGCTCTGGCTAGTGGCGCCAAGTTCAATGCTGCCGGTGCTTTGGACTTTTCCAGTGCGTAAAGGACATGCTCACTCAAAAATATTTCAATTCGGCCTGTCGGCACAAATTCACCGTCACGTGGATCTATTCTAATGAAATAAAAACATATGGGCACAGAATGTTATTGTAACGGTAAATCCATGCCATATAAACTTTTCTTCTTGTTCGGGAACCAATTGAAGTTGAAGACTCCCAACTCCACGAGCTGAACTGATGGAAAATGTGATGCCTCAAATTTGAACCTCAGGAAGCACGTAATACATGAAACAAGGACGCCAGAATGACGAAATCAAAACCTAATCTGCGAATCCACGTGCGAAAAGTTAAAGCACTTGACAACGCATTATAAATTTCTTTCATGCAAGTCCCTCTAGCGCTTTCTTGATCCTCCCGGCAACAAAATGTTGTGCCCCAACCATGGAGGGTGCATACACAACTCGTTAAATCATGGAACTGCGACGTAAAAAGGGGCATAAACCACGAAAGCGAGGGGTGGGGGAGGAGACGAAGCAGTACATTAAGGAGACAATGCATTACACTAAAAAGTTGGAACAAACAGTAGCCAAGTAACAATATTTGTTCGGAATTTCAAGTCGGCGACCACAAACCACCGCAGGACTAAATACGAAACAACATTTAAGTAGAGGAAACCCATCCAGCAGCAACCAACGACATTCTCTATTATGAGAGCCCTTCTTCCTAGCTATATAAATACACGTTTCCAGGTTTCCGGGTTTCCTAGCTTTTCCTCGTCTAACAGCAGCTTCCTTACCAGTCCGACTCCGGCTATCTTTTACTATCAAACATGTACATGAACAAAAAGGAATTTCGGGGAAAGGGAGGAAATCATAGAGGAGAGACCACATTACATGAAGCCATCCATCCCGCCGCAGTTTGTACTCTTCTTGGTAGAGCAACAAAATGACAATCTGTCGTGATGGCTTCAATCTGTCGTGATTTACCCACAAAGAAAGTAAAACCTTTGTGTCACACATCAACTAGAAGATAGCAACTTGGATTTTAACTTCTCCACACTTATGTGCCAGCCGGATGCGAGAAGTTCAGACCCATCTGGCGTTTCACATGATCAGGTATCAACCTATTGATAAGTTCTGGGGTGGCGCCGGACAACTGCAAGGAGGAATTAAGTATTTGTATTTAGGTATGGGATTATAAAGACCTTGGAAGTACAATTCATGCTTTGTTTTTATATTCTAGCTACGGACAGGCATCTTAAGGCTCCATAACCAGATTTAGAAGAAAACAACATACCTCCTGCTTGAAATTAAAGAGAGGTGGAAATGGGCGACCGTTTGGAAGACGAGCATTGGGCTCACGAAGGTCATCAAAGAAAGAATGTGCACAAGCTTCTAGCTGCAAAGATAAAAAGGGGACATGCAGCAATAATTAAAAAGAGAACCGCATATATTGAAACAAGATTCCAAAGGTAAAATTGTTGAGCCAGGAAACTCCTTTTTCACCAGTGAACAAAACTTAACTCATGAGCACCGAGAATCACACTCTCACAAATAGATAGAGAAAACAAATGCTTTGCACCCTAATCTTAACTCATGAGTATTGATAAGCGACTATCAAACAAAACTGGATCCTCAAACAATAAATAATGACATCAGTATTAAATTAATTGCATTGAACTTACAGCTGTGCAGCGAAGACTTGGTGAGTATTGCAGCAGTCTGGAAGCCAGATCAATTGCTTCTGGAGGCATCCGTTTGTGGAAAACCTAAATCAAGGAGCCCGAGTTAGTACGACCTACCACTACCACATTAAAGAAACAGAGGAACTGAACTTTATAAATCCTACCAAGTGTCTTGTTTTACTAATCAATATTATTTCAACAAAAGAGAAAATATGCTTACATTGCAAACTCCTACAGACCCAATAGATTATACATTAATGTCATCAGTGCAATATTGCAAGGAATCAAATCTAAAAACCTTGTGCCAAGGATGAGCTTTTATCTGTGGAAATCGAAAATCAGTATAATTTGGATTCATGCAACGAATTTCTTCACGTGTTGGCGTGCCAAGAACCTGCAAGATATATTGTAAGATGCTGACTCATGATTACCAGAACTGAATAATTTAAGAATTGATTATCACTACTCACCTTGATGATCTCCACAAGCTGGTCAACTGCATTTTCTCCCGGGAACAATGGCTTCAAAAAACAGTAGAGTATATATGAGTACATCTATGGTAGGAACTAAATCAATTATGGAAACAGAATCAACTAACATCTTAGAACGTTATAAAGAACTGCTAACCTGGCCCAAAAGAAGCTCTGCTAGGACACAACCAGCTGACCAGATATCGATTGAAGTTGTATAATCCGTAGCACCAATATAAGTTCAGGAGCCCGATAGAAACGTGAACATATGTATGATATGTTTCCTTCTCCTTTCACCTACACAAGAAATTTTACGACAAGTGAATGAAACCCTACATAGAGACTGAAATACAAAAAAATATTTAAAGCCTGAAGGTAACATACCAGCACTTTTGCACTTCCAAAATCACAAAGCTTAACTTGGTGAGTAAGAGGATCAACCAGAAGATTTTGAGGCTTCAAATCCCTATGGCAAACTCCAGGAACGCTGTGTATGTAAGCCAGCCCTCTAAAAATCTGGAATGCATGCCAAATTAGTGCCACAGAATATAAAACAAGAAGCCAACATCCGGAAGGTTCATCATGTATTACCTGGTACATGTAAAGCTTGACATAGATCAGTGGCATTCTCTGGTTTGCATTGCTGTAATGCTTCAAAACGCGGTACATAGTCTCCGGGACATATTCCATAACCAGATTGAGAAAGAGTTCATTTTTACTGGTAGTGGAAAAGAAACAGTGCTTCAAAGAAACCACATTTGGATGGTCCATCACACGCATCAATTGAAGTTCCCGATTCTTGTATCTTCTGTCCTGCAAAACCTTCTTTATAGCCACAGTCTCGCCACTTTCCAAGCATTTCGCCTGATCGAAAACAATTATCAGCTTCAATCACAACAAATGAACTGGTACCAGGTCACAAAACGTACAAAGATGATACTATGACATACCTGGAAAACAATTCCAAATGAACCGGTTCCCACAACGCGCTCCGCCATGTAACTAATAGTCTGCAAAAAAAGCATAATACCCAAACAAATCAACTTCCGAAGAGAGGATAACCAACCCGATCAGCGATAAAAACATCTAGATCTCAAAAATTGGATCGACAATCATATTTTAACCATTCAAATCAATCAAGAAGCAAATTAAACAACGACACGCAGGTAATAGAGCAAATTCCAAGGATGGTACCTGTTTTGGTTCTCCATTTTTGCCTCCAATGGTTGTGGATATGATGTGACCGGTTGGATCGCTACCGTCTACAACGGGAGCAGAAATTTCCTGCACAACACGTAAAGTTACGACTTTGAAGTAAACAAATTTACCACAAAATATATGGAATTCACCATTAGAGCCACCAGAAACATGCAAAACACGCCACGGATCACCAAAAAAAAAAAAAAAAAACACCCAAAAGCTTCATGAAACGAAATCCCTAAACGATCACAACAAATATTTTGCTATTTTTCCACAGATCGGTAGCACATGATGCAAGTGCGATGCAGATTGAAAACTTCCAAATTTAACCCAAATTACACAACCTTCCGACTTTAATCGAACCCAGTTGATTCACATCAATGTGATCTGAGCTAAAACTGGAAGTATCCCAATAAAAACCTTGAATTTGAAGAACCCAAGCTCATACCAAAATCCAGATCAGAGAAAAAGAAACAGAACCGCTGCTCAGCTGAGAAAGTTTCTACCTTCCGCAACCAAACATAAAAAAAAATTAGAGAAAATAATGAGGGACTGAGAGAGTACCTTATCGTCAGCCATGCTCAGATGGGAAGGAAGAGGAGAGAGAAAGAGCGAAAGAAAGAAAGAGCAAGAGGAGAGAGAGAGAGAATCAGACTGGAAATTTTGTGGGGAGGAAGGAGAAGACCATGGCGGTGGCGGGAGTAGTGGTGGCGGTGGTAGATGAGAGAAGAGGAAGAGGAAGAGAGAGAGGGATGAAGAGGAAGAAGAAGAAGAAGAGAGAAGAATTAGAGGTGTCCGGTACAAACAACTCCCATGTGACTCCAGCTCTTCCTTCTCTCTCTCCTCTCTTTCTCTCTCTACCCAATGGAGTGGGCCCCCTGGTCTATTCCTTGCCCCCAATTACGACTTTACCCCGCCTTTTCCTTTATGTCGTCCGCCGACGTCGTCAATTGCCCGATTTCTGTCTTTCTTTCACTTTTTCTAATTTCCTCACCCTGCAATTATGCAATTTCCTTTTCGATTATTTAATTCCATCTTTTTTGTGGGTGTTTTTTCAACGGTGAAACTAGTCATCCGTCTTTGTATCTCTATCCTGAGAAATCGTCAGTGTGTTTGTAACAGCGTCACGTAATGTTGTTATTATATTTTCATATGTAAACATAAAGAGAAATGTTACAAAGATTCTCTTAAAATTGGGATTCTTTGTGAATTATTTATCGCATCAAGTTTTTTGCACAATATTTTATACTATTAGTACGGAAATTAACCTTAAACTGTGAAATATTAGAGAATCTATAGAGAGTTTCAATTTGAAAGTCTCCTTAGCATTTCTCTAACGTAAATTAGGGTGGACACGTTAGCTAGTTTATTGACCAACCTATTCGAAATTCATTGGGTTGGGTTGGGTTATAATCTTTAAAGATTTACATTAGAAAAAATTTAATTGTTCGTCCAATAGGTGGGTTGAGTTCGATTTAAAGTATTATTAACCAGGTTGAAATCGACCAACCCGAATATCAACAATTCTTAAACATACATGTATATTACATAGAATGTAATAATTGTTAAACACACGCTTGTCTATTTACACTTGATTTCAGTAATTAAATTTAAATATGACATATTTTAAATTAGTTGTCACTTATATGCACTTAACAAATCAGAAACATAGTAAATAATCACAACCCGTGAAATCGCCCAACTCAACCTGCCTTAGAATAGTTTGGATGGGTTAGTTTGCCTAATTTCTTACACATCCTTATCAATTTATGTTATTTGATTTTTTTCAATTCATTCAATCTGACGATCGAAAATTAAAAGGGATGCACACTTCTTAAATAATGTCAATCCAAATCTATTAAGTTGGGCAACGAAATAAAGTCCAACCCGACTAATACACTCCATATTCACGTCCAGTATAAATGTACCGTTGTATAAGAATTTAAATAGATCGGAAAAATCACCCCTTGTCTTGTCTTTTGTTTCCCTTATGCCTAGTTTTTTTCCCAGATGACACGATATTAATTGAATTGCCTACAATTTCCCCAACATACCATTAGCAACGAAAATTGAAAAGACATGGCATGGGGCATTCACTCATCACTGCCAGATTTAGATATCCCCGATTGTATATACTGAATGCTATTCTTATCTCACGTCATGTGACTAAATAATTAGTTATGATGAGTTTTTCAATTAGTTTTGATGAGTTTTTTGTTTTTCTGTTTGCCGTCAGAGAATACTTCAATATTTCGGTTATATTCACCAACGTATACAATTGCTAGACATGATAGGATACATTCACTCATCGCTGCCAAACTTAGATAACTCAACTATATGTAATTGAGGATGCCACGGCAGACGACTCGATGCTCTTTTGCAATGACACGGCAGAGGATGCGCAGGGGGTGAGAGAAGTTTTAAGGGTCTATGCTTATGGGTCGGGCCAAGAAATAAATTTGTTGAAAAGCTCAATTTTCTTTAACCCAAAGACCAAGAAACGTGCTAAGCAGGAGATTGTACAAACCCTAAACATCTAAAGCATGGATGGCTTCGGGAAATACCTTGGTTTACAGGCTAACTTTGGTCATTCCAAGAAAGCTGTGTTCGAGGAGGTTCGTGAACAAATCGAAACCCGTATGGCGGGTTGGGCGGAACAATTCCTTTCTCAGGCGGGGAAGGAAACCCTCATAAAGGCAATGGCCATGGCTATACCTAACCATGCCATGGGCTGTTTCAAGCTTCCCATCAGTGTGTGTAAAGATATTGAGAAAGCTGTTAGGAATTATGGGTGGAGGGGGAACGGATGCAGGAAGGGTGTCCATTGAGTTGCCTAGGAAAGGCTAAGATCGCAAAAACACAATGGAAGGCTGGGATTCAAGGACATACAGTATTTCAACCTCACCCTCCTGGCTAAGATTGGATGGAGACTTATTCATAGGCCTGATTCCCTTCTTGCTAATGTGTTGAGAGACAAATACTTCCCGGGTAAGACGTTCAGGGAAGCATGTGGTGGAAAAGGAACGTTCTGGGGCTGGAAGGGTATTTTTGAAGCACGAAAGGTTCTTGACAATGGTATCAGATGATGGGTAGGTGATGGAACCTGCATCAATATCCGAGGAAGACCCGTGGTTCCCAAAACCCTCCACTTTCAAGGCTCGGACACGTGAGGGCCTGCATGCAACTTTGGTTTGTGATCTTATTGATCCAGACGCAGTCGCGTGGAAGATCGATGTTATTGTTGGAGGTGTCTATAAGGAGGATGTGGCATCGATTCTTAGTATTCCTTTAAGCAGGAGCATACAAGGTGATAGATTGGTTCGGCACCACTCAAAGAATGGGGCGTATACTGTTAAAACTGGATACGGGGTGGCTCTAGGGCTTATGGAAAATGACGATCTGGGGAGGAAAAGGCGTGGAGCGCCGAGTTCAAACTCAAACCTCAACCAAGTCTAGAACAAGATATAGAGCTTGGAGGTTCCAAACAAAATGAAGTTCTTTGTCTGGAAATGTTGTAATAACACTCTGACAGTCCGAAGAAATCTGAAAATGAGACATATGAGAGTCGACAATGTTTGTGAGGTGTGCAAGCAGTTTGATGAGACGGAGAACCACATTTTCTTTCGGTGTGAAATCAGTCACATTTTCTGGTTTTGCTCCCCCTTCAGATTAACTCCTTTGAGCTGGAGGGGGCTGATTTCCTTGCAACCTGGGTGACTTTCTGCAACCGGGTCAAGGGCAAGGTTAGCGAACTTGAGTTGCTGCAAGAATTTGTGTTTGGGCTCTGGCGTCTCTGGAAAAACAGAAATGAGATGGTTTTCAAGGGTGAGCACCGATAACCTTTAGAAATCTTGAAGTTATAGAAGAGGAACCTCGCCGAGTTTCGGGATGCAGGTGTCCTACGGGTTGCGGGTGTAAAACCTTCTGATGCCAAGATCGTCTCAAATCTAGGAAGACGGAGTGAGCACTGGCAGAAGCCGAGGTTCGGGTTAATCAAGATAAACACGGATGCTGCTTGGTGTAAAGAGACTCTGGGTACTGGTGTGGGTTGGGTTGCTCGTGATTTTGTAGGCCTGCTGCAAGCGGCGGGGGGCTCGGGCGGTATTTTTTGCCACAATGCAACGGCGGCTGAGGCCACTGCAATTTGAGATGGCTTAGAGTTTTGTATTAAACATGGATTTAGCACGGTTATTGATGAATCTAACGCCAAGGCTTTCATCCAAATGATTAGGAAAGAGATTACCCTTGATTTCAGTTTGGAATGCACTATTGGTGACATTAAGACTCTAGCGCGTGGCTTAGAGTAGGTGACTTTCAAATTCGTTTCTCGAGAAAGTAACTGTGCAGCTCACTCGATGGCTAAGTATGTATTCCAGGAGGGTATGGGTTTTGTTTGGGACTGTATTGGGCTTGAATTCCTATTTAACATTCTAGCATAGGATGTAAAACTCTATATTCGCCTATAATATTTCTACCTTTTGTTAAAAAAAACATAAAAAAACTATATGTAATTTATTGTTGTCTTATCTCTCGTCACGTGATTATACAATTGGTTATGATTTTCTATTAAAAATAATTTGGTTATATTATGTACTTATGAATACAACAACTGCACGTGAGTTTTCTCCTACAATTAGAAATCTATGAACGTGTTTTCCTTGCCTACATAACTGTTCTAAAAATCCCCGCCTAGGCGCTAGGCGGTTGGCCACCATCCAGATTAATGCATAGGCGTTTGAAAATTAAGAAAGGGCTCCTAGACCTACTGAGGCGCCTGCCTAAGCACCCGCCTAGCCCACCCATACCCGTCTAGGTTGTGACTCACTTAGACATAAAATATAAAACTTTCATTTTGCATTTTATTTTTTCAATAAATTGTAAGATACTTGTTGAATACTTAAAGGAACACACATTATATACTTGTCCTTCATGTTTTCATTATGTTCCAATATCTCATAATATGTATGTCATTCCATTTTGTATTTTATGATGAAATCATATATATTTTAAGTATCAACAAATACTTATTTACATGAAATATAATATATTTAATTAAATCCGTCTAATCTGTCTAGGCGCCTGCCTAATCGCCTAGGAGTTAGGCCCCAACCCGCTGCCCAACTAGCATCTAGTGTCTTTTAGAACCTTAATCGAAACAAAGAAATGGTATTGTTAGAGAGGTTATCTCTTCCTATAATATCTTGCCATAATATTCTAGATTGGGTGAAGTTTAGTAAGTTTTATAGGTCTACTCTTGGAGTGTACTCCAAGCCTTTCTGAAACCCTAGTCGATCCTCATGTCTCTTCCTATCTCTAGTCTTTCTCATGGCCACCGATTCTTCCTCCTCTCTTTCTTCTTCCTCTTCCTCCTCATCTGTCACCCTCACCCACTTCTCTAACCCTAGCACTGCAAGCTTCCTCAAACTCGATGAAGAAAGCTCAATGGCTTCGACAGATGAAGCCGTTTCTCATTGGCCAAAATCTATACAAATTTGTTGATGGGTTTCACTCTGCTCCTCTTGCCACCATTCTCGTCGTGCCGCCAACCGATCTCAAGTCTTCCAACAGCTACAATCAAAACATCCAGTCATGTGATGACTGCTTGATTCCAACATGATATTTTATTTTAAACTAATTAAATTACGGAAATAGCGAAAGATCCAAACTTCGGTTTAGAAGAACAAACACATTTTGTTTTAGCTAATTTAGCTACACCCACGTATGCATGATGATCAAACACTTTAAATGTACATTGCTTCATCCATGAAATTATAAAGTAGCTAAGTTTATGATTGATCAGACGAGACAATAAGAATTGCAGGA